CCTCCGCAACGCTTCCCTGTTGGGAGCTCTGTCATCTGTGGAGAAGAAGTGGGCGGGATCGGTTAAATACTGATGACCTCCCCCAACCTGCTGCCAGTCCCACCGGTTCCTACAGCCTACAGGATCGTGTGACGGTGACACGGCGGATCAGTACCAGCCGGAACCGCATGGGCCGACACGCGGACACGGGAACAAAGGCGGAAAGGCGGAAAAAAGCAAAACAAGGAAGGGAAAGAAAAAAAGTCAGTTATATATATATATATATATATATATCGTCACAAACAGAGATATATATATATATATATATATCGTCACAAACAGAACTGCCCGGTAAACCGTAGGCAGAGAGAGAGAAGAGGACAACAAACGAGGGGCTGTGACAAACTGTTTCGTCGGAGTTTCATCACATGGACGACGGGTCGGTGTCCCTGCCGTTGTCGCCACCACTTGTAGACCCCACATAGCGACGGGCGAGAACCCCTACGAGCAACTCGAGGACAGTGTTCCCTCCTCTTATCGCCTCCACCACATCACCAATCTTCACCGCCATCGCAGTCCCCGCATCTGAGGTTGCCTTCGCCACATCACCAATCTTCACCGCCATCGCAGTCCCCGCATCTGAGGTTGCCTTCGCCAATGTAGAAGCGGCCTTGTCAAGACCATCGCAGTAGGATCGTGTCGACTCCTCCATCGCCCTCGCCATAGTCAATCCGCCGGTCCGAGCGTCGTCCATCCTTGTTTTCCCTGACGATGTTCTTCGCATCTTCGCTGCGCCCTCCGAGCCGTCCATTCCTCTCGCCTCAGACCCGCTTTTTCCGGATCCACTTCTTCCCGAAGGCGGCGTTCCTTCTCCCGCTCCCGGCAGGTCCTCAGAGCCCAGTGTCTGGTCGCACGTCATGGATGGTCTGTTGAGTTTCCATTGCATGGCATCCCACAAAGGTTTCTCGAAGGCGAGAGGCACCTGCAGCTCCTTCCGCTGTTCCAGGTCTGTGTCCCAGTACGACGGCCGACCTGACGCGTTCTCGCACTTGTCAAGGATGAGCTTCGCCTTCGTCATCATGGACGTCCACTTCTTACGGCAGTCCTCCGCAGTTCTCTGAGGAAAACCGCCAGATGCCATGCGATCCGCCACCCACCCATACTGCTCCTTCCTTTTCATGAACTGATGTTGTCCATTGGCGTCAGCCATGAGCGTGTCGTCCTCCCCCATCATCTTCGCCAGCCATATCATCTCCTCCAACGTCCACACCAGGTTTTGTTTTTTGTTCTTCGGTGGCCCTTCGTTCCTGCCTTTTTTCTGCCCACGTCTGCCATCGTTTCTCCCATCGGAATCACCGGCCTTGTCCGTTTCTGGAACACCACCTCCATCGCCATTCTCGTCGTCAACATCATCTCCATCTCCATTACCAGTGTCATCCTCCATGTCCTCGCACGCTTGACCATCGTAGCCATTTGCGGCATCGCTGTCCAAACCCGACGGGACAGAAGTCCTGTAATGCGCCGTCCATGCATTGTCCATGTCGCGTCCGTCGGCGTCCACAGTGGAAGGACCGGGAGTGCAAGGTGATCGCCTGCTGGACAGAGTGGTGGTGCTGGAGAACATGGCACGCGACGTCTGGGAAGTCTGGCCGGATTGCGGGGACCAAGGGCGATCATTGCGCATTGCGCTCCCCCTATCAAACGTCTGCTGCGCGGGGAACACGTGCGCAGCGAAGCCGAACCC